GGGCTAATGGAATAGTATAAACCCAACGGCTCAAATTGAATCTGAGCTAATCCAATGATGACAAATGTATTTCGTAAGTAAATTTTAATTTTTTTTCAAAGTTCTATATATATTAAATTTTTTTAAAATAAAATGACCACCTAAACTGGATCGGCCAATGTCTCGTTCTAATTTGACCGACCAGTTTTGAGTTTGACTAGCCAACTTTGCGAACACCGGTACAAAGGACATGATATTTTCCATTTATGATGGTCTGTAAAACCTAGGAAGGATAGTTGGATATAGCCAAATATGTATCTTGACCTATTCTCTCATGAATACAAGATATTTACTCACATCCAATCGAAGGCATGTATGGTTTTTAATAGTTATATCTAAGGGTAGTTAGTCTGTTTTGGTAATCTTTACTAGAGGGTCCTTCCCATTCTATTTGAGTTTCATCAATACACAAAGTCTTCTCATTTCTTACAGGAAAAAGTTTATATAAAGTGTAGAAGTACGGTGCACCTTAAAAACTCATCGAAAAATATTGTTTCGTCACTAGAAAATATTTCAATTGATCATCTCGATCTCAATATATGTATATATATATATATATATATATGAAAGAAAAAATGAATTTTAAATCTTCGAAATAGTACATCTTGTAATACATTATCTGGACCGTCAATTTTTAAGTTTTTCAAGTGTTCATGGATTTGATAGATCTGCACCATTTTTGGAGCTTTCAATTTGATAATAAAGGTCGAAAATAGATTCTTAGATCATGATGAGAGTTTCGGCACCAAAAATATATCCTTTAATAAGATTGTGAGGTGCACTTTACCGTGATTGTTTAAGGTTGAGACCTTATACAAACCTCACCCTTTCTTAAAAATGACACTTATTGTGGCACTTGTGAATAGAGATAGGGTCATTCAAAAACCTAATTTCTTTTTTTTTTTTGTTTTGGGGGAAGTCAGCATTACCAATCAAACTTAGGTTTTTGTGTTGCAATGGGCCGTAAGATTCAGCATCGATTATGTCATGATTTCTTTTTACATTAGAGCCCATCACATAATTTTATGCCAATTTAATGTTATTGTCTTGAAGATGAGATGGTCGTCATTTGAACGTTAATTTTGATAAGAAGCATTTTAATTATGAAGTAACTATAATATTCTTTTAAAAATGGAAAAGTGTGGAGGTCACTATTAATCTTGACCATAAGATGCTGCATTATTACATTGGCCAAGCACATAGTTCAAAAGAAAATTTTAGAACTTCATGTTGCAAAACGTAGTCATGACCCATCTAATAAGAAAAAAAGACTGCAAATGAAATTATTACATGTTAATTGCAAATGAGAAATTTACCAAAATGCAGCTTTGAACATTTTACCCATTTCATTTAGGGAAATTATCGCTAATATATCTATATTTTACTATAATCGAAAAAAAAACTTCAATTTTTCAAAACCTCACCTACACCCTTTCTCACAATTTTTGGCATTTTTTGGATCAAAATAACCTTCACAGTAATCTTTATTACTGTAACGAACATTACGGTAATTTAAATACCATAATAAGTTGAAGGAGTATTACAGTAATTAAAATACCGTAATACCTTAAATTAGTATTACGATAATTTAAATACCGTAATAAGTTGAATGAGTATTACGATAATTAAAATACAGTAATACCTTAAAGTAGTAGTACGGTAATTTTATTACTACTATCTATTTACTCCCGCGACAAAAATCTATGCTAGCTGTATTTTCAAATCTCAAATATTTAGAATATAATCTCTACTACTTATAGAATAATTTCAGTAAAACAAATTTTCCAAGTAAATTCTTTTGTATATTAGAAAAACCTAACACTTCAAGATTGAATAGAAACTATCCAATTTTCAAAGAGCTAGATTTAAGTGTCACAGAACTTACAATTCAATTCTTTCAAAAATAACTTAGCAATTTTTATATAGTTCTTAAAATTTTAGAACGAAACATTCTTAATAGGTGTTTTTGAACGAGGGAGTAGATCCACATCGTGCTCTCATGGGAACATGATTTTTTTTTTAAAATGCAGCTCCGAATAAGACTATGGAGGAAATGGGTAACCCTGATATTAGCTTTGGTTTGAAGCTTTTCAACCAATAGGGGTTCGGAATTGATCCGGAAAGTATTACGATAATAAGAATACCGTAAAGGCTTTCCCACACACCGTAATAATAATTCAAACTATTACCGTATTTAAATTACGGTAATGCTCTTTGAATTTTTTACGGTGTTTTAATTACCATAAAGCTTAAAATGTATTACAGTAAAAACGCTACCGTAAATGTCATTTTGATAATAAAAAAACCAAAATTTGTGAGAAATGGTGTAGACAAGGTTTTGAAAAGTTGGGATTTTTTTTTTTTTACTAAAATAAAACTATATTAGCGATTATTTTCTTTTTATTTATTTAATAAAACCAACAAAATACATATCATCATGAGTTGGAATAGATGTATTAAGATAAGTTTCCCATTGAAATTTTGTAATTTCTTGGACAGTATGTCGCGAATTCAAATGATAAAACGGTTTTCCTACAATTGATGGTTCATAAGTCAATCCTTTGTGAAGCGATGTTTACCAAGTATAATGTGCATGTGTTCACCAAAAGTGCTCCAATGCTGCCCAATTATTGAACCAAGAAAGCAATAACGATTTTGGTGACACTATTTTAAGGGAATGTCTACAAAAAAGACCATTTATCTTTGTGGTCACAATCAGTCTTGTCCCTTAAATTTCAAAATGGGTAGTTGTAAGAGTATCATTGAATACGCACAAAGTTTCAAAACAAGATTTATCGGAGTGCATAACTCTCTCCTTGCCATCGAATTTGATATCTAATGAATATGAATAATTATGACCTCCACATACAAAATAAAAATGGTCTCTTCGTAGAGATTCACCCTTAGACATTCTTCTGCATGTTGAGAATGTGTCGATGGAAAGGCTACGTTCCAATGAATTCCCAAGGTTGGGTGCTAAAGTGTGTGCTTAATTACAGCTCTCTCTCTCTCTGGTTGAGAGAGAGAGGGAGAGAGATGATTTCTTTCTTTCTTTCATAAAATATTCCAATCCCTCAAAGGGAGACAGAGAAACAAAAAGGATAGGCTAACCTGTTGGCGGCTGTAAAGCCAATTTTGCCTTGATCCTTGCGGTTGTGGTTGTTGTTGTTATTGTTATTTCTCTTGTATCTCCCTGCAGGTGTTCGTTAGGAAGAAAGGGGGGGGAATAGAAACATTCCATAATCACCACAAAAAAAATTGCACAAAAAACAAAGTACAGACATTTCAAAATGGCAAGGCACTTATTAGCACAAAATATTATTTATTATTATTCCAAATGGAACAACTTATTCAAGTATGCTAAAAATGTAGAGACCAATTTTCCTCAGCTACTACTAGTCCCAAGCGCAAGCGCAAGCGCAAGCACAAGGCCGATAAAAAAAACTGCCTTGCTTTATTCTGGTAGCTCCAAATTCTACGGTTTAGTTGGTGTTGTTAACCTCAGATTTGTTGGTGATTACCCTTTTCGTGAAAGATGGCAAGCAAAATGCAGCTGAATGAATCTGTTACGTACAAAACAAGGTCAAATAAGTTCAAGATAGAGAAAGAGAGATGAATTCTTTTTCCTTAAGGCAGCTTTACATAATTGTTTGAAACAATTGGATAACTCCTTAAGTTATTCGCCAGCAAAAGTACCTCACCTCTGAGTTGTAAAATTTCAAGGGGCGTTTTGTAACACTGTGAGCTTCATCATTGACATCAATGGCATTCACTGGATTCTTGAAATCAACTACCGGGCCCTCAGTTGAGCAGAGCATGAAACCAATCATCCCACTATGGAAATCATAGGATAAAAACGCTTAAAGGACTCTGCTCTTATGCATACATCGAGAGAGAGAGAGAAGACCGAAAAAAACTGGATTAATTGGACTAACTATTAATCTAAGAAACCTACCTTGGGTAAGTGGGTACTGTAGTCCATGCGTAGCTTACAGAGCCTTTGAATACTTGCCGGCATACATTAACAATATCTTCAATAATATGCATATGCAGCCATATGCTTTCAGCCTGGGTGCAAACCACTCCACCAGGTTGGAGGGCGTTAGCAACCAACTCGAAAAATGGCTTCTCAAATAGCTCTTGGGCTGGGCCTGTTCAAAATGTATGAGATGCAATGAGAATCCAAAAAACCCAAGAGTAATGGATAGAAAAAAATATGATGGATGGTTAAGGAGAAAACTGCACCGATAGGATCAGAAGAATCCACGATAATCGCATCATAAGTTCCTGGAGGAACAGCTTTGAGAAAGGCAATTCCTATAGAGAAGACACACCCATAAGAACCTTCAATGAACCATAGGTAAAATTAGATTTATTTAGTGCGCTACTCTCTCTCTCTCTCTCCAAGTGTGTGCCCGCTCGCACATGTGAACTTGGATATGTGAGTACTTTATTTCCCTTTTGGAGACTTCTTGTTTGGATGTCAAAAACATGTTCTATATATATCTTCATTATCATCAATGCCAATGTTTTACTACTTAGGGTCATATAAGAGTACAAAGTACATAGACCGCCATTTGGCATATACAGATAAAAAAACGTAGATAAGAAAAATGGCAAGGGACAAACTTAAATAATATGGTTGGAAGTAGTCCAAAAAGATATAAAGACTTATGATCTCATTGAGGATATGACCTTTAATAGAAAAGAATATCGGACCAAGATTCATATAGCAACCCCAATTAATTGACAAAACGCTACGATAATTGTGACATAAAAAAACACCAGTGACCAACATAAGGAAAAGATGGAACAATACCAATTATATTATTTCCTCAAAAAATTAACAAAAATTGTTTCAGAAAGAAGAATAGTTTTCTTCATTTTGTTGAAAAGATTAAATATTACCATCACCAATGTGGAGTGTAACACGGGGATCCTCGTAGCCTACAGCCATATCAGGAAAAAATTGCTTGGAAACCTGGATAAATACAAAGTGTCAGATCCCTCCAATGTTAGGAAAATAACCTTTTTTTTCAGATAAATAATATGAATAGAACTTGATGAGTTGGGTCACCAGTCTTACATCAACAACCATGGCGTCAATTTCACAGATGTCAATCTGCTCTACAGAAGCATGGCGAGACACTTCTCGAAGAACCCCACCATCACCTCCCCCAATGACCAACACCTGAATAGAGAAACCCATTCAACATGGCTTAAGAAACCAGCACGGAGATTGGAAAATTCATTAAAATTTTGATAAGGAATTTATAAGGATGCTTCATAAATTTCAGTAGTTCTGTTGAAAAAGACTGTGAACTGCTCAGATGAATAAGAAAATGGCATTGCAACATAGAAAGAAAATACCTTCTTTGGGTTGGGGATTGAACACAGAGGGAGGTGAGTGATCATTTCTTGGTATGCAAATTCGTCCCTTTCGGTACATTGAATCACCCCATCCAACACAAGAACCTTGCCATATGTAGACGACTAAAAGAAATAGGAAGCATAAATAATTTATACTGGCAATGAAAAATTATTAGTCAATCAAAACAAAGATCGCTACACAATGAATTATCATTGAAGCATAACATACCTGGAATACCATGATATCTTGGTAAAGGGACTTGCCCTGAAATATGATTTGCTCTATCTTCAAAGAATGTGCCTCTCCTACAAATAATAAAATCAGGTATTATGGCCCAGTTTTCCAATTGTAGATATCCTAATTCCCTTAAATGAATAATAAAAAAGTAAGCACTATTTTGTTTCTTCTGCTAAGCTCCACAACTACTACTCATGAGTAAAGAGATGCAATGGAACAAGTTTTCAAGATTTATGTAGAACATACAAATTTTATCGCTCATAAATTGATAAAAGTGCACATGACTAGGGATGAAAAAATATGTTTTTGAAACAAAAACACTATATCGCAACTTAAAGAGACAGGAACAAAAGCCAGAAAACCTCAATTACTACATAACAAAGCCACGCGTTGTTAAAAATGAACTCGATGCATAGGTGGTTAAGGTGATGGACACCATGTCACGACGTCTTAAGCTCCATTCCTATCAAGGGTGGGGGACCCCTTCCCCTCTGTTCTACCAAAAAAGACAAACCATGCATTGTTTACCATGGTGAAGGGAAACAAATAAAAACCATAGTATATAAACACAATGTTTGCAAGTTATGGCCCTCAAAAGGGAAATATAGGATCACTGGAAAAAAAAAAATACCCTCACAACTTACATCTAAATCAGTTTTAAAAAGCAAAGACATGATTGAAGCTAAAAATAGACAAAACTTCATACAACTCATATTTACATAACTACATAATAGAAATACGAAAAGCAAAGAAATCAAAACTCCATACAACTCATATTTACATAACTACATAATAGAAATACGAAAAGCAAAGAAATCAAAACTCCATACAACTCATATTTACATAACTACATAATAGAAATACGAAAAGCAAAGAAATAAAAACTCCATACAACTCATATTTACATAACTACATAATAGAAATAGAAAAAGCAAAGAAAACAATAACATTGCAGATCAAATACAGTTTCTTCAATTTACAAAATGGTATTTAGAAAACCACGCTACCACCATAAGAGAAAATGTATTTGTGAAAAAAAATTAGTAAGGAGTGAAGAAAAATACATTGGAACAATTTTAAAGGTTTCATATTTTGAAGCAAAAAAATACAGAAACTCATATGGTTTAAACCCCCAAAACCCTCATAGAGACCACTAAAAAAGGTCAAACTACAAAAGATTAACAGAACGAAGAAACAAATGGAAAGCTCCATTAGTCAAAACCCTAAGAAATGAAACATCAAGAGCCAAAACACCCAGTTTGCACAAAAAGAGCAGAAACAACACGGTGAAAAACAATTGAAATGAGTAACAAAGACTATTTCAGAACAAAATAGCACAACCGAAGTTTTGAAAAACGGTTAAAGTTAGCAGCAACTTAACAAAAGAGCAGAACCCAACACATCAAAAGACGGTTAGTAACATGTTCTGCTTCTGAACAAAAGTGCACAACCCACTCATTGAAAAAACTAGTTCAACTTAAATTCTACAGACAGAGATAAGATAACTAACCAGGCCACATAGAGTTGATTTCAGAGAACCATCCTGGAATGATTGAAGAGACACATTGAGAGGTAGTTTTATTTCCATCAGCTTCCACTTCCTTGAACCAAGAAGAATGGCTTCCTTTCTCCTCACTAGAAACACCAACCTTCTCTTTAGTCATCTTTTTCTCGACTAAAAAACTGTCTTTATCTCTAAACCTCACAATCACAAGATGGACCAGTGGACTGTCTCAGTTTAAACTAAGAAAAATACACAAAACTTACTTTGATGTATATGATTATCGGTCAGCCACTACAATTTATAAGCAAATCTCTGTCTATTTATAGGATATCCTTGTCTCTTTCAAAGAAGCAAATCTCTGTCTATTTATAGGATATCCTTGTCTCTTTCAAAGAATAGAGAAAAACATGCCCTCAAGTCAAAAGGGCATTCTAATGTGGGCAATTAATAATAACTGCTCCTAACTAGTTACCAAAAAAAATTTGGGCCCTCACTTTAATAATGTGCTCTTAAAATGATTGTAATACCCTGACTTGTTTTGAAATACCATAAGGAACCTATAGGAGAATGTTTTTTGCTCCCATGTTCTTGGTTGAAAATTTTGGCCATGTTTTAACAAGACTAACCATATTCTGATTGTAAAAACATGTCTTATTATGTATGCATTTGAGTTATAATTTATTTAGAATAAAGTGCTATTTTGAGCAAAACCGAATTTCGAAACATACATTACCACATATAAACACATGATTATATTCCATTTGTTAGTTCTCTGCACAAGAATTAATTTTCGGAACATTCTATAGTAAAAAAAAAAACCACAAAAAGCGGCACGCAGTATCGAGCTCATTCATGCAATATGTTGCTTTTTGTGGCAAGATTATAATTGGGATGAAAGCTAATTTTGAGCCCAATGCAATACTCTAATGGCGAAAGCTCTAAATGGAAAGAACAAAATCATCTTAAATTAGCTTTAGAAATTCAATATGGAGCTTTTACTATATATATTCAATATATATATATATAGAGAGAGAGATAAAATATATAATGAGACCATTTACTTTTGATACAAGATGGTCACAATTAATCTTGACTATTAAATGTGAAATTGGGTGGTTGCTTTTATTTCATTGACCAAACTCAAAGTTAAAAAAAAAAAAAAAATTCACATCGTATGATTGTAAGTAATTGTATATACATATATACATACTCCATATTGTGTTTCATGTAGTTGCTAATTGCATAGTTTCTCTGACTTAAAGTTGTAGTTCATACTTGAGACCATTGTCGTCGGTAAAGGAAAAAAATAGTTGCGGCACATTTGTCATTATTTGAAAATCAATGGGTGGTATAACCAATTAACCGAAAACATTGAATTGGGATATTTTGGCCATTTAGAACAAAGACTAGGGACCTTTAGGTATTTGTTTATCTTACGAACTTTGGGCATGCGTTATTTGTAAATAAGGTAAATACCCAAGTTTAGATTCTCACGCTTACATATGGATAGAGATGGCCGGTTATTTTTAGGCAAAAGTATAGGTTTCCTCGATTTTTAGCACGCCTCCCAACACTTTTTATATCACCATGACAACCCAAATGCTATTTTTTTGCAACCTTTTTAAGTACAAAAGTTTATTTATTTAAGGCCAAAACGCCCTCTGCTTTTTACCACATTTCCCACTCTCCGGTTTGGCACAACCATCACATCTTGTACTGAGCCGCGCACTAAATTCAACTTGTGCCAGTTCGACACTTTTTTGTGCCGGACCAAGTATAGAGTTGATTCAACATTATTTTTTGCGTTAAACTAGCTTTATATTCAACTTATGCTGCTCCTTTACATTTTTGTTAAACTAGCTCTATATTCAACTTATGCTGCTCCATTACATTTTTGTGAGGTGTGCTTGTCGTATAGATTGTGGACTTCATGCTTTCGAAACATTGGTTAAACTAGTAGTATTTTTTGTCCAAACAATAATAACTTTTTTAATTAAGGGGGTAATTGCAAAGAAAAATAATTTTGAGGTTAATAGTATGATAACAAAAATATCCCAGGAGGAATAATGCTTAGAAAGTTTTTTTTTTTTTGGGTAATTTTCTCTTCTTAAAAAGACGGTGGTCAAAATGGGCTCAAGGCTAAGTGGCCAGGGTGGTAGGTTCCAGTACTAGGATGGATAGGGGACCCCTTTCCTGTTGAACCATATAAAAGAATTAAAAATATTTTCTTTTATAATTATTTGACATATTAATAGTGAATGACAACAGCACATCCAATGGACGTTTTGAATTCTAATTTTATGTTATCAAACACTCCCTTAGGTAGCTTGATAAATGGGAGTGCAATATAATTTTTGTGACTTGCATTTTTCATTAGCGCGTATAGTATACTCCTATGGGAGCATATTGTACATTTGTCATATGTACATCTACTCACTCGGTCAAAAGACCTACTTTGGAGGATTTTTTCAATCTGAAAGTTTAGTAACCACCTAAATATCATTAAATGATTAGAATTTTTTTTCTAACATTTAGATCTTACTCTCTAAAAATTGGTCACTCTTGATAGCTTTTTTTTTTAAGTGCATAACAAGTGCAATTAGGATTTTTTTTTTTTTTTTTTAATTGAGGTTGATATACAGGTTGAAGATGTTACATCCCAAAAACTTGAAGTCCTATAGTTAATCCTATATGGGGTAACATCCCAAAAACTTGAAGTCCTATAGTTAATCCTATATGGGGTATTTACTAGACGAACATCTTGTTGATCGTTTATAAAGACTTAACTTTTTATAAAAAAAGCCTGGGCTTAATTGGTTAGCGCTTGACAATTTGCAACCCTATGTCCTAGGCTCAACTCCTACCAAGGTAGAAGCCCTCTCCCCATTGACTCACCCAAAAAAAAAATACTAGACGGAGTAAATACACAATATAATCCTGCAGGAGTATAATATCTTTTGGCATTTTTTTGAGAACTACACAATGTGAACTTGTGTATTCACGATTTAGGTGTACTTAAAATTGAGGTATTTCTAGTATTTGTGAAATTGTACATTTTAAATACCTTGACTATGAATTAGGGGATGAGATGAACCAATTCTTAATTTTTGAAAGTTGAGCTCCCTCTATTTCGACAAAATTCGAAGGATAACTACAAGGGGGTATTTAAGGAATATACTGTGTCCAATTCAAATTTGAACTCAGCATTAACCAGAAGAAAAGCCTTTTGGGGATTGTAGAGAGAAACTTATTTAACAATCAGGCATGGGTTGAACGCTATTTCGGGAAGATGCCCTTCCGACCCCCTGCCAATAATGTCAGACATCGAGCGCAAAGTCAAAAATTTCCAAAACCTACTTACTCGTAATCATACGAACTTGTGTAATGATTTACGTCTTGTTGTTGCTAGTAATGTTATCGAATTCGTTTCGCTTCGGTGAAGAAGCCAAAGCTTTTGGATTTTACATATAAACCGAAGAGAAGCAAAGCCGGTTGCTATTGTTTTGATTAGATTTGGGCTGTTTTGGGTTATTTCGGCCAGATTTGGGCTGTTTTGGGTTATTTCGGCCAGATTTGGGTATGCTCGGATATGATTCGGGTATTCTTCGGCCATCAAAGAAATAGACGTAAAAGATTTTTATTTTTTTCCTATTATTTGTAATATATTATATATATAAATATCTAATTTATTATATTAAATTAAAAAAAAAATCTAAATCTTCCCTCGAATCGTCCGAAACACCGAATTATTTCATTTTTCTTACCAAACCGAATAAGACTCCGATACTAATCTAATAACATTGCTTGCTAGAGCATATTGTGCACTAATTTATGTTTGGAAGGATTCCTTTCAATCTTTAAGTTTTAGATCCAATCAAATTCGATGATTATTTTGAAAAAATTAGATTGAGCTTTTTAAATATTTAGTTTTAGCCCTCTTAAAATTGCATGTTCATTGTTCGGTCTTGGACTTTATTTTCTTTAGCACATATGGATTTGGAGAAAAAAAAAAAGAAAAAAAAAGGGCAAAAAAAAAAGAATTTGATATTAGTTGCTACGTTGAAGAGGTTCATCTGTTCATGCAAAAAATTTGGGGTATGAGCAATACACTCCTAGATTGGGTTTTACATGAGGGAATAAATGGACAATATGCTTCCACGAGAGCACAAAATCTGTTGGCATCCCTTATGTAGTCTCGTTCAAAATTCAAAATTTATGTCAAAAGATGAATTTTGGATCGTAAAATAAATTTAGGGCAAATTATCTCAACCACCATGATCATAAATCTAGAAAACAATGGGATGTTAAACAAGAAAACAATGAGATGTTGAGCCTTAAAATTTACTCGATATTCATTTTCATTCTTCTCAATGTAATCCGTACTAGTTTTCAAGCTAAACGTAAATGCATCTAAAATAACATGATATATGTTTTAAATCTTAAAGCAAAAAGTGTATACAAGGCATCAGTTTTATATTATAAAAATAAGGTGCACTTCTTTAGCCTATTAAAAATTATTGTTTTAAGGTCGAAAAACCCTCAAAATGATCATTTCGGCCTTGAGACATATGAATATGAAAAAGAGATTTTCAAGTCCCAAAAATATTACATCGATACATTATCTAGCCATCAATTTTCAAGTTTTTTAAGTGTTTATATATCTACTTAAGCTAAATTATTTTTTACATGAAAAAGAGATTTTGAAGTCTTAAAAATATTGCATTTTAGACACATTATCTAGACCATCATTTTTCAAGTTGTTTATGTACTTATATACCTTTTTAATCTACATTGTTTTTGGAACTTTAAATTTCATAGTTGGTTGTCTTGTAGATTCTCCGTATTTGCTCCATGCGAGAACCTTCACCATTCCCAAGTTTTAAAATACAGTGTTCTCCTGCCCCTATGAATTGCATAATGATGCTTTTTATTACATTATACATATTTACCTTGGACCTTTTCTTGTCACTTTCGACAGGAGGAATCAATAAAGTGTAAAGCAAACAATAGAAAAATAATAATCAGAATCTTACATGGCAATGTGTGCATATAATAGACGAGCAGGACTAAGCCAAGTGGAAAACAGACAATGATTCTATGTGAGTGCTTAGATTAAGTGAATTGAGAAAGTTGGATGGCCCCAATTGTTGTTAAATTAAAGGTGGAGTCAAAGGAAGGCTTGGGCCTAGCCTGGCCTAGTCCCCAGAGAGCTGACCTAGGCCCT